CACACACACACACACACATATATATATACTACACAATATATATATATATATATACTGTATATATATATATAATATATATATATATATATATATATATTGTTCTCGATGTGGATATGAGGTAAAAGTTTAGTATATTGTGCATTAATTTGCGCTAGTTTTCTATGTACACTATCTTTTTACGTACGATTACCATATCACCGGATCTGAAATTATGAGGTGTTTGTTGTTCTTCAGGAGAACATCGGACACAAGTTTGATGTGATTTTCTTCGACATCAGCGGGAATGCCAAACTCTGGAATATTCTGCCTATACTAGACATGTACGACCGAGCTCTGGACGCTCGCGTGATGATTGTCAAGGCATTCAATCTGTGGCATCTGGCAAACAGGTTGGTGATGGCGGAGAGCGAAGAAGCGATGTCGATAGGCACACATAGAGATCCAGCGGAAAGTATAGAAATCTCGGTATGTAGGGAGACACTATCGCGAGAGTGTCATGAAAGTGGTGAGTTAATGACGGAGGGTTGTGAGGAGATGGATACAACGTGCCAATAGTTAGATATATGAATATACTCTGGATATACATGCGATACTAGTCACAAAGCATTCGAACTGGTGGCATTTGGCAAACAGATTGGTGATGCAAAACCGTGATATTCGAGGCAATCGCAAGGCACATTCCAGTCGAAGGGATACAGGCGAGGTATATGGGCAGTGTTGTGACACATCTCCAGCGCTCTACTGCACACCGTGGAAGAAATCTAGGTCACATTCAGCGTTACGTGCGCGTGAGTGTAAACGTACAAAAAGTTCGATCACGGTCACGACCTCGATCGAGAGATAAGAGATTCAGATAGAGGTAGAGATAGGACAATTCAGATGGCGAATGGCAAAGGTACAGAGAACGGTCACGCGACATACGAGATAGACAGCAGCGGAGTGAGATTAACCGCAGCGAAGACGTGCCACAATGACACAGTAGGCGTGAAGGCAAGGACGAGAGGAGCTACAGGGATGCGAACAAGGATTTGTTCGGGGAGCCGAGTTCGAATGCACAGCGTCAGAGAACTAGTAGGCGCCCACGCCAGGTGGGTGAGGATGAGAATACGTGTGTGCATGTGATTGTCGCTTAGTCTGAGGCTGTGTAGTATCACCTTTTAGGATTGTTTCTTGGTTAGCTCAGTATCTTTCGGAATAAATTAGTGTATAGTGAGTGCTAGACGCGTATATGGATTGGTTTGTAGAAGTAAGTCTTTTGGAAAGTCTTTTGCAACACCATCAGATTCTTATTCTATAGAAGCGTAAGGTTTTAGATGTAGAATGGCAAGTAACCCCCACTGGACGTCAATTTATCAGCGAAGGTTTTGATAGGTAATCGTATTTTATATGAGCCTTTTATTTTGATGGAAGTAATAATACTGAATGTATTTATACAATTTGTGTATATGTGGAAATAGTCGATTCCGAGAACCTCGCTAAGGGTATGATGTCAGTGCAGTGATTCTCTTATACTGTACACATATTCGACGTGTGTTTGCGCACTCGGATTCTGTACATTTTCATTAAAACTGGATACAGCATGATCACTTTTCGTTCGCCAAGTAGTATATTATCGAGCATACCGCTTATGAATTACAGACGGGCGAAGCATATGTTCAATAGGCCATACGAAATCTGTTTTCAGAGAATATGTCAATTGTTATCCAGTCCCTTCGATCAATTAATGTCGGTATATTCTGTATCAAATCAACAGAGAAGCGTTGTGAAATAAACAAAGTACTGTCAAAATCAAATACTTGGAGTTCGAGCGAGGTAATAGGACGATATGATCACCTACACAGGATCATGAGAGAGGAGCAAGTTACCCTAACCATGTTGTCAACGCACCTGGAAGACACCAAGGGTAGTAGTCATGAAGAATATCTTCGACTTTATGCATAGTGCAAAGTGCAGTGTGGAAGACTTCGGGGATTCAGCATGACTTATAACCTATGAAAAATATAATGGATAAGCATTCATAGATGAATGTAATACACCTAATATGATTTTCAAGCAGTATATTATAAACTGAAATTTTTTTAGAAGCTCTTTTAAATCATAGCCTTCTAAATTCAAATTGAACGCTTAAATATAGAAAAGGGAGAACCATTCAGGGGGTTGGCTCGTTTTTTCAAAAACAAAACAATCAATCGGATTTGTAAGTACATACTCTATCGAGTCTACACTCTCTCTAGACTATTTACTAGATAGAGAGAGAGTAGTCACTGCTGTACAGAATAAACGTTACACATTTACCGCCAACGCATTTTTTTCTACACAACACTAAAAAAAAAGTATATTTGCAACGTATATGTACTCTCGGCTGATATATAAATGTACGGAAATACAATGTGAAGCTGTGAAGGCGATGTGAAAACCCAACAAATGAGTATCAAATATTATGCACAGACAGCACAGTATTTACATACATCGATAAAATAAATTCACAGCCGTGTATTTTTATTAATATTAAAAAAACCAAAACCAAATATTAAAAATTCTCATATGATTCTTCCCTTCGTTTTCAAAGTCGCTCTCACTACTTTCAACTCCAAAGAAACTCTACTAATCAGTCGAGTGTCTACTCTCTCACTCTCTCCTTTCGTGTTGGTATTGGTTCGTTATTAAAACAAAATCAAAGCATATCAAAACATAAAACAAGTAAACATTCCTGAATTGTGTGAAACTGTGAATCCTGAATTCTCAATTCCTGAATCCTGATACATACATACTTCGGGGGCCGGGGCTGGGACTCTGGGGAGTGGGGACATCCCTATTGAGCTCCACTCATTAGGTTTACACGCCAAAC